ATTGTCCAAACCCAAAAGCATTTGGCGACTTCCACCTGTTACTAAAACTGAAGGCAATCAATTGAGAACGCAGAGATTTCCTAAATCAATGCTAGCCAATAATGAGATAAAGTACCTCATTCAAAAGGTGAAACATGGGAAATCTCTCAGAACTGATGGAACATTTTGTGAATTCCAAGAAACATTTAGAGATGCTTTCACTTGTTATTGAAAGTAGCTATGGGGAATTGCAGCTCAGCTCATAGCTCTTCTACCCTCACAAAAGGGATGTCAGTTCCATCTCCTGGAAGCCTTTAGATGGGCAATTTACCTTTTATGCTTGTTGAGGCACCTCAGCACTGTTTAACTTTAAAATAATATTCATATTTCAAAAGCAGCTGACACCTTAAATTCATATTTCAAAACCTTAAATTCATATTTCAAAAGAAGAAGTTGACCACTTTTGTGGAGGATTGTTCTCATTTTTTGTGCATTTTGGATAGTCCATGATCTTCATGGAGAGTCAAAGGGACAGTAAATTGGCCACCAAACCCACCACTGATCCACATTACTGGTTTAAGGCACCATTATAATCATTCAGGGGAAGTATTGGTTGGATGGAACCACATTAAAATGAATGTCATTTTCAAGAGTTTATAAAGCCCTCGGGTTCCTATTGCCCCGTTGCTTTTTTGAATCAAGACACAACGCCCTGCCATTTTACTATCAGAATCAGCCAAGTCTTTGGCTACATCTATAGTGATCCAACAAGTCTTTAGGCCTTTTGATCAAATGCCACACTCCATCAGGTATGTTCTAAATTTAATTAATGCATGTAATGTCTCCAAACCACTTGCAACCCTCTCTCATTAGATGCCATTAAGACTTTTAATGGTCTTGAAGGGAGTCCTATGGAGCTGTAGCCCATCATAATCTGGCTTGCCTCCTAATTCCCATTCCTTCTTTCCTGGGGCTGATTTCTCTAAAGGATACATAGATTACAAAACATAGACTGTTTTGTACTGATCAACTTGAAGTAATGAGTTGATTTCCTTCACAGTGCAATATGTGTTGCTGCTACAACAGAAATATGTGGCTCAAAGTAGTGCCTTTGTATGGCTATGTAAAAGATTATGGTTTTCTGGGTCTACGGAGATTTCCTCCCTTGTTTGTACTAATGACCTTTATGTTTCCCCTCTGTCAGCTCCAGCCTCTCATGCAGGGACATGAGAGGAGCCTCCTACAGGATGGTAACATCTGGGCATCCCCAGAGCAATGTCCTTGCAGTCAATTCTCTCACACCAGAAGCGACTTGCAGTTTCTCAAGTCACTCCTGACACACCCAAAAAACCCTAATGTCCACCTACCTTCTGTGTGAAAGGCTGTTGGAGAATCAAAAAGCCTGTGGTGATCCATCCCAGCAGCAGTTATAGTAATAATTATTTCCAGTTTCTCTGTACAGTTATGGAAGTTGGCGCGTGAAGAAACAAATAAATGGTTCAAAGAGCATACCAAGCTTGAATTCTCAGTGAAACCCAAAATTACTAAAATAAGTATTGTACTCTGGATTTATCATGAGAAGACATGACTCAGTGGGAAAGACAACACTGCTGGGAAAGATGAAAAGTACTAGGAAAAGATTAAACTGAATCAATAAAGGAAGCTACAGCTGCTCTGGGTTTCCAAGAACTGAGCAAAGCTGTTGATGCCCAGGGCTCTTGGAAGTCTCCCATTCATCCAAGTTAGGTGGGCAGAAAACACACAGGCCAAGTTGTGAACAGGCACAACGCCACCAAACGCATGAGAACAGCTGTCAGATCTCTTAAAATTACATAAAAATTATAGAAGTACTAATTAGAGGAACACTGTAAGTAGCTCTTCCTCATGCCATCCTACTCTATGTGTGTATATATGCCTTCACATTGCTTGTCAACTGATGATGATCCCATGAATGTCACACAGTGTTTTTTTAGGCAAGGCAAGACACTTTTGCCTGTTCCTTCCTCTAAAATATGGCCTGTAGCACTTGAAGGGCAGTCTCCCACTCAAGTGCTATCCAGGGTTGGCCCTTCTTAGCGTCCAAGATTAGATGGAATCTGTGCCTTTCAGGTAGTTTGGTCTGCATTCGGAGTCCTGTTCTTAAATTTGATTGTATTGATGGCATATGTTTGTTACAGTTGTTGAAGAGAGCAAAAAGGACAGATGAGTAATTCACTGGCCCATTTTCTTCCCTCAGTCCTTGAAATATAAACACATACTTGAATGATTGATGACAAATAATTTACTCCAAAGCATTACAGCACATAGCAACACTCAAGCTGTTCCTCATGATCAGTGTTGCAGATGGCCAAAATATATTATATCTGTAATTCAGACTGATTTTTTGTCCCCGCAACACCTACCCTCTGTGGTCTTAAGAGGTTCCTAAAACAGTGTATCAAAATGCCACTGGCTCCTTAGACCAGTTTCTTATCATTATCTCCAGTGGTGTAGCCACATTGGTCTGTTATGCGGGGTAGCAAAATATTGAGAAGGCCCTGCCTCTCATTCCAACCAGCCGCACCTGCGAAGGAGGTGGGACCAAGAGCAGGGTCCAAACCACCTTACTCAATGTGTTATTTTCCCTGATTGAGAAATATTTTGCTACCACTCAGATCACATATCCCTGATCCACAAAAAACAACAGGAAGCAGCCAGGTCAACTTCTTCCATTTCTTTAATTCCTGCCCCACATCTTTCATTTTTACAGCACATATGAATATACTAATTCAGCCTGGGCTGTATTTGGCCCTCCATGTCATTTTATGTGGCTCTCCAGATACTGGCCTGCTGTATTTCTCATTAGACATCACAGCTGAAGGGAGTTGTGACACAGTAACATCTGGAAGGCAGCTGTTTTTTCTGTTTAGGCAGAATAGTGGGGTTTGCACATAGATACAGTGTTTGTGGATATGATTTCTGACTTTTAAATAACATTTAATCTTTCCCCAACTTCAGAGCCACAAGTGCTGTTGGGCTGAAATTCCCAGTCCTTGTGGCAGATAATCAAAAGTAATGGGAGTTGTCATTCAGTAAAATCTGAGGACCCAAACTGAGCAAAAACTAAAGAGAGCCGACCCCTATGTAAAAAAATTAATAATTGGGCTTCTGTCTCCTCCATTCATGGATTCAACAGGCTGTTGGAGGCAACCATAAGGCTGATGTGGCCCTCGATGAAAATGAGTCTAAGACCCCTGTATTAGCTGATCTCTGAGAGAACTGAAGCAAATGGCTAAGGATACCTCAGTCACAGCTAACAGCTGCAAAGGGTATAAGCTTAGTCCCAGCTAAGTTTAAGAGATTTTTAAAAATCCAGTTGCCCAAAGCAGATCAAGACAAGCCTGAACTCCTCCCACTCATTTCATAGCAACTACCTGGGGCTCACTTTCCACCAAAATGCCTTCAGTCTCTTTTGGGCGATGATGCCCTAGATCCTGCCTCCTTTTCTTCTGCCAACCACTTGAAGGGCACCTTCTCCATCCCTCTTGAGCCAGAATCATCTGTCCTGCCCTTCTCTGGGCTCAGATTGTCCTATTTTCCAAGGCTGGTTCTAAACGTCGTATCTAGAAGTTTTCTATTTAGCGCCTTTAGCTCTTTCACTGTCGTGGGATACATCGAGGGCATCGCTGGCCTCAGGATTGTGCATTGCCATTCAGCACCTCTTGCATTCTGTGCACTTCACCTTTTCTTTACAGAGTTTGGCAAAATGTGGGTTTGCACTGCAACATTTGAAGCAAACTTGAGCTTTCTGGGCAATGGCCACCTTCTCATTGTAAGGTTTCTTGAGAATGTATCTACAGTCTGAAAAGCTGTGTGGTTTTTCGTGAACAGGACACATGATGTCCTTAGGAGTGTGTCCAGGCTCTAAGGGTTCAAGGTTAGCGTTGGTTAGAAAGAAGAGAACAAACCAGGTTAGGTCACTCCTGTTCCTGCGGAGGTTCCTCACAGAGTGATTGACATAGAAGGGACCTCGAGGGTAATCCGGTCTAACCCCCTGACAAGAAGCAGGAAAATCACATTCAAAGCACCCCCAACAGATGGCCACCCAGCCTCTGTTTAAAAGCCTCCAAAGAATGAGCCTTCACCACATGCCAGGGCAGAGAGTTCCACTGCTGAACAGCTCTCACAGTTAGGAAGTTCTTCCTCATGTTCAGGTGAAATCTCCTTTTCTGCAGTTTGAAGGCACTGTTCTGTGTTCTAATCTCCAGAGCAGCAGAAAACAAGTTTGCTCCCTCCTCCCTATGACCTCCCCTCACATATTTATACAGGGTCCTCATCATGTCTCCTCTCAGCCTTCTCTTCTTCAGGCTTAACATGCCCAGCAATTTAAGCTGCTCCTCATTGGGTTTGTTCTCCAGTTCACCTGAGGCTGTTAGGAATGGTGGGACTTGAAGCCCAAAAGGCTTGAGCGGCTGAGGAGGAAAAGGAAGGAGCCTGAGGCTGTTAGGAATGGTGGGAGCTGAAGTCCAAAAGGCTTAAGCGGCTGAAGGGGAAAAGGAAGGGGCCTGAGGCTGTTAGGAATAGTGGGAACTGAAGTCCAAAAGGCTTAAGTGGTTGAGAAAGAAAAGGAAGGGGCCTGAGGCTGATAGGAATGGTGGGAGTTGAAGTCCAAAAGGCTTAAGCGGCTGAAGGGGGGAAAGGAAGGGACCTGAGGCTGTTGGGAATGGTGGGAACTGAAGTCCAAAACCCCTGGAGGGCCCAAGTTTGCCCATGCCTTGTATTTATCAACGGAGAATCCTTCAACCCACTCTGTTTCTGAAGATGCGAACTGGAAGTCTTAATGCGACCTTATGAAAGGCCAACCTGCCTCCCTTCCCCAGTGTGGAGGCACCGAAGGCACCCCTTCTGCTCCTGGAGTGAAGAAAAGGTGCCATTCCCGTGCCTCTCCCTCCCTTGGCGCCCCATGGCTGCCTCTTCCCTTCCCCTTTGCCTGGCGCCCTTCTTCTTCCTGCCCTCCAGGTGTTCCCCTGCGGGCTCCTTACCTGCCGCCTGCCTCTGGGGCTGCTTGTGGTGGTGCTGCTGCTTCTTCCCGGGTCCGCCGGCCGGGCAGCTGAGGAGGAGCAGCCAGAGGTGGAGGACCACCCCGACGGCGCACGGGCACAGAAGCACCAGCCAATTGCGCATTGGCCGCCGGCACCGGCTCCCCGGTCCAGCAGCAGCAGCGCGCAGCCCGGCAGGCGCCTCGCCTTCCTCAGCCCTCCTCTTCCTCCTCCTCCTCCTCCTTCCTGAGTCCCGCCTCCAGCGCCCACAAGGCCTCGCGTTGCCCCCCCCCCCCCCGGGAATGATCAAGGGAGCTCAGCGGGAGAAAGGAGGAGGGGAAACCCTACTCAGAACTGCAACGCAAAGGCCGCCCAATGCCCGCCTCTCCACATCTCCCAGAATTCCCGCTGAGGCTTCTGGGAGTCGAAGTCCCAAACACCTGGAGGTCGCGCGATTGGGAAGCCAAGCACTCTTCGATGCAAAACAGCAACGCGCTGCGTCATCATTCCCTATCACTTCCCTTCTTGGCTTCTTCCTTCACCGGAGCGGGTCTGATTCAAGCGCCCCTCGGCTTTGGACTCCACTTCCCAGAATGCCCGCTCCTAGGCCCAAGAAGCTGAGGATTCTGGGAGCTGGAGTCCACAACACCTGGAAGACTGGCGTTTAGGGAAGCTGTCTTTTGCAAAAGAACAAACGCAGTGCGCCTTGTCTATCATCTATCCCTCCTTCTCCATCAGCGGTTCTCAACCTCTGTTTTCCCCAGGATATTTTGGACTTCAGCCCCTTCCACCCAGCTGAATAAAATCCCACATTATTTGCCTTGTAGCTTTTTTTCCAAATGAAGCAGAGAGTGTTTGAGGACCAGGACATCCGTAGGGATTCCAAGGTGCTTGTTTATAAAGCTATTGTCCTCCCAACTCTGCTATATGTCTGCGAAACGTGGACTGTCTACAGACGTCACATGCAACTCCTGGAACGATTCCATCAGCGCTGCCTCCTGAAAATCCTGCAAATCTCTTGGGTAGACAAGCAGACAAATGTGCTGGAAGAAGCAAAGACCACCAACATTGAAGCGGTGGTCCTCCGCCATCAACTCCACTGGACCGGCCACATTGTCCGGATGCCCGATCACCGTTTCCCAAAGCAGTTGCTCTACTCTGAACTCGAGAATGGAAAACGGAATGTTGGTGGGCAGGATAATGTGGGATTGTTTACCTTGATATTCTGGGATATAGGGCTGTGTGGAAGGGCCCTGGGAGGGAGTCCATCTGATCTCCCTTCCTGGTGAGATCAGATGGACAACTTCCCTCCTGCCCTTCAGGATGGTAAAAAAATTTGGCTGTGGGACCAAGATTTCGAGACAGTGTAATAAAGCAGCGATAGGAAACCTAACCAGGCCAATTAGATTAGACACAGATGATCAAGACAGTTTTAAATAGTGTATTTTAATATCAAGACAATTTTTTAATGTTTATGTATGCCTATAATGAATTCATGTCCCAGCATTGAATGTTTGCCATATGTGTGTTGTGCTCCTCCCTGAGCCCTCTTTGGGGTGAGAAGGGTGGAATATAAATGTTTTAAATAATAAATAAATAAATAAATAAATAAATAAATGTCCTGAACATCTGGAATGTCAAAAGTTAAGAACTCCCACTGGCCATAAAGGGAAGTGTATTCCATACAGAAAAGCTCAAGCCAACCTGAGAAATCTGGTGCCCCATTTCAACTTCTTATTCTGTCCCTTCTTACTACCCCACTTGGAATTTCAGTACAAGAAGGATATTCAAAATGCTTGGGACCAGAAGGATTTTGGACAGGGTGGGGGAGGTGTGGACTGTTTGCATACACCTAGAATAATAGATTCATATAATAATAGAGGAGCCCCCAGTGGTACAGATAGTTAAACCACTGAGCTGCTGAACTTGCTGACCGAAAGGCTGGTGGTTTGAAACTGGGAAGCAGGGTGAGCTCCCACTGTTAACCCCAGCTTCTGCCAACCTAGCAGTTTGAAAACATGCAGTTGTGAGTAGATCAATAGGTACCATTTTGGCAGGAAGGTAACAGCGCTCCATGCAGTCATGCTGGCCAGATGACCTTGGAGGTGTCTACGGACAATGCTGGCTTTTCGGCATAGAAATGGAGATGAACACCACCCCAAGAGTCGGACACAACTAGGCTTAATGTCAGGGGAAACCTTTAACTTTATAAGTGTCTACTATAAATCTGGTTTCTGCCTCCTGAAGAATTCTGGGGTTTGTAGTTTAGTGAGGCTGTTAAAGGCTCCTCCTTAAACTCTCAAACCCCAGAATTCTGCAGGAGGCAGCAACCGGATTTAAAGTGGATTCATTCTCTTGTGTGATGTGGTTCTGTCAAGGTGAAACCTTTACATTTTCTTACAATAATAGAGTTGGAAGAGACCACATGGGCCATCTAATCCAACCCCCTGCCATGCAGGAAAAGCACAAAGTACACCTAGCTAAGGAGATACTTTTAGAGATGGGACCCAAGTCAAAACATAAACTTCATTTATGCTTCACACACACCTTGTATGCGTAGCCTGAAGGTAATTTTGTACACAATACCTTAAATACATTTCTGTGCATTAAATAAAATTATTGCATTGAAATATCAGAAAACAAAGGTGTCATAGTCAGGCACCCGTTTGGACAATTTTGGATTTGGGGATATTTTAGATTTCTGGATTTTTAAAAAAGCTGTACTTTTCCAAGTGTAGGAAAACATGAAGAGCAATTTTTTCATTTTGTGTGAGGAAAGGAGGAGTGTGAGAGGGCCTCCCATCCAAATACGATGCAGGGCTGATCCCATTTAGCCTCCAAGATCAGAAAGGATATATTTAGGCTGTCCCCAAAGTAGGACCTCCCAGGACATTCATGAGATGGTGACACATTGCCACATACTTATAGCCAAGAAAGGCTCCATCTACACTGCATTATAATGCAGTTTCAGAATCCAAATTAGCACCATTGAACTTGGATTATATGGCAGTGTGGGCTCATATAGTCCAGTTCAATGCAGTTAATCTGGATTTTGAAACTGCATCATATGGTAGTGTAGGTCCAGCCTAGGAACACACAGGCCCCTTCTGCACAGTTCTTTATCCCAAGATCTGATTCCAGATTATCTGCTTTAAACCAGATTATATGGGTCTCCACTGCCAGATAATCTGGGATAAGGGGATAATCTGAGATTGGATCCTGGGATATTGGGGCAGTGTGTATGGGGCCTCAGTCCTATGAAAGATCATCTGACTTGAAAAGGCACTGCACCAACAGTTTCCCAGGAGGAAGTTACTTATGACATCATGAATGTCAATGCTTAAAAGGGGCACACAGTAGATTTTGCATTTAATTTGCCTCTCATTATACTTTTGTTGTTAATTGCTTTGAAGATGACTTTTGGTGACCCCAATGAATGACAGGCCTTCAAGTCACCCTGTTATTGACAGCCCTGCCCAAGATTCACAGACTCAGGGCTATGGTTTCCTTGATTGAGTTTATCCATTTGTGATGCTGTTTTTCTCCTTTTAGATAGCACACCATCTTACTAAACAGTATTCTCAGACCTAACAAACTTTGAGGATGCCTGCCATAGATGTAGGTAAAATGTTAGGAGATAATGCTTCTGGAACATGACCATACAGCCCAAAAAACTCACAGCAACCCAGTAATCTCTTTGCTAGTGAGCCATGTCTTCTCATGATATGGCCAAGATTAATTACAGGGGACCCATTTACACCACCATGTAATGCAGTTTGAAATTGCATTATCTGGTTGGTGTAGGCTCATATAATACAGTTTGACTATCCTGAACTGCATTATATGAGTCTACACTGACCATATCATGTGGTTTTGAACTGCATTATATGGCAGTGTAGATGGGGTCTAAACCAAGATATGGTAAGGCTTTAACTATTTCAAGGTCTTCATTGTGTATTTATGGTATATCATTGCTCTTTGGCCATGATTGTTATTTTTATAATGTTCAAGCTAGAGTCCTTCCTTTGTGCTTATTTCCTTGACTCATTCATATTATCATATATATATATATATATATATATATATATATATATATATATACACACACACATATACATACACACACACACACACACACACACACACACACACACACACCTCTGATGTAATTACCTATAGTTCTGTCATAATCAGTTGTTAAGGCTTTAAGATACAGTATGGTCTCTAACAATGTGAGAAACTTGTTTTTTTCTTTTTTTAAAATGAATAAAACATTAATCCTTATGAAAATCTATATATCTAAACAGTAATAATAAACCCACTTATTTCAGTGAATAAAAGGTGAAGTTCTCTTGCAAATATAAAACGGATATTTATTAAAGTAGAAACCTGAAACATAGTTGCATAGAAGGCAAAAGAGTTCTGTTTCTTGTTTGTATTCAGGCCAGTTCATACATCTTTTTGCATCTGTCAATACAAGGTATTGAGGCAACACAAAAGTTAATGTGGAAGGACATTTTTTGCATTAAGTTAACAGCCACAGGGTTCACATTTTCTCTCTTTGTATATTTTGAACTGGAAGGTCTAAAAGTTTTGTGTACGCTTTTTCATTTTAAAGAATATTTCATGGGATAGATCCCATTAATGATGATAATATTTCAGTAGGATGTATAGCAGTGGTCCCCAACCTGTGGTCCATAGACCGCCAGTGGAACGCAAGAACTAAAATATGGTCCGCAGCCTCACCGTTACTACACCGTTGCAACAAGAGTGACTGGTCTTGCAAAACCCTCTTATAGTGCCAAGGCTTATTAAATATGGTTTTCTATGGGTGAGTGATTACTGGGTGTCATATGTTTTGTATCAGAAACTAGAGCTGATGTGGTCTGTCCAATGCAATTTTTTGAATCAGCACCTCAAATAAACAACCCGCATTTTGACCAAAAACTGATGCATAACCCTTTTGGTACAAATGTTGGAGAGTGGTCCCTGGTCAAAGTGGTACCTAGTTAAAAAAAAAGGTTGGGAACCACTGATCTATAGTTACATCTGGGATATAGGCTAGACTTCATGGCATAAAACCAATCATATGTCCTTACTAAAGTAAACCCATTAAATCGGTGAGATCTAATTATGTGTTCACTGACCATTGAATAATTAATTGAATGGATCCAATCTATTTAGGATTCAACAACAGTCTATATCTCTTAAACTGAGCTAAACTGAATTTACAGAAACTGGTACATACATTGGTTAGAGAAAGACTGTGTGTCATTG